TCAAATTTTTGTATCATTGTTAGCTGGGATGTTGGCGGGGGTGTTGTGCGGCATCGTTTCTCACCCTGCCGACACAATAGTGTCTAAGCTTAATCAGCGCATTGACAGTGTCCATGGCAAAGCTGGCACATTTTGCCATTTCCTGCGGGATATTGGGTGGCGAGGGCTATGGAAAGGCATTGGGCCACGTTTATTTATGCTGGCGACTCTCACAGGCCTTCAGTGGTTACTTTACGATGGTTTTAAGGTGCTTGTCGGCTTTCCCACTACAGGAGGCGGCCATGTTTTGGCAGGGAACACGGCACCTTCCTTGAAGGCCGCGTGAATCTAAGTGCCAGGTGAAAAGATGTGAAAAAGAAGCAGATGGCAAAAAATTCGTTCTTTTTTTTTTTTTTTTTTTATGAACTGTGCGTTTTTTTTATTATTATTTGCACGTTCTTTTTTCTTTTGGCTATACTTTTTCCAAAAGGCTTTAATGATGGACGAGGGCGGGAGAAGATGATTCACAGCTCTTCGTGCGCGATGAGTTTGAGTGGCGCGTGGCGGGCCGTTTTTGTTTCCACCACAAATAACGCGTGTTCAAATGGATTTTTTTTTTTTTTGCTTTTGCTTTTTTTCTGGGGAAAAGAAGGGGAAGCAAGCATCAAAAGGGGCAGAGCGGCCTAAGTGAGCGTTGCTCAGGTGAAGGGTTGCATGACAATGCGGGATGATTGACATCACCACAGTTCCCACCCGTTCTCTGACGTGCCCCTTTCCTCTTGTGGCGCTGGATGCAGCGGCGTTCCACGAAACTCCGACGTCACGGTTGCTGTTGCTTCTGGTTGGTCGGGACAGAGCGTGCGTTGCGTCGCTGCAGGATCACAAGATTTGTCTTCGCAGAGTTGTCTTGCAGTATCACCGCACATTGACGGCCGGTGCATGTCGTTCTATGAACTCTAAGGACGGGCATATATTTGCGTTGGCCGACACTTCTTCTACTTTGACAGTGCATCGCGTTCCTAATTTGTCAAGTGGTGTGGTGCCTGTTGACCAGGAGAGTGGCACCGTTTTTTTGGGCAACGCATGGGATAAGGCTTCTCGGATTGATCAAGTTGTTTCTATACAGGGCAGCAGTCAGGTGGACGTTATATGCACGCGGCAGGGTGAAACGAATGTGGCATGGGCAATATCGTTTGAGCGAGAGGAGGCGCGCATGATCCGAGTTGACGGCGACTTGGAGCGACTATTCCCACAACAGGAAATTACTCCGGGTTGTTTTGTGGGTGGTACACCACACGGTGTATCACTTATTTCTCCTGCCACAGGGGAAACATTGATACAACTCAAACTGCCGAGCGGGAACAGACCTGCCGAGGCTGTGCAGTCGGGCTATGCCGGGAATTCATATTATTATGCAGTGGTAACGGCTTGCGGTACCGCCCTCATGTACGATCAACGCCGCAGTGAGAAGCCATTTTGGTCAAAGCCATTGTGGGACTCACGTAGTGTTAATGAGAATGGTGACGCTGGAACGCTTATGGCATATTGTTGTGAGGGTGTCTGGGCTGTTCGTGCCGCTGAAAGGCTTCACTGCCTACGCTGCACCGAGGGCTCTGTTGTGTGTCGCTCTTTTCCACTTCCTGGAGGATTACACTCGTCGCAGTTTACCACCGCGGGTCTTCACTTCACAAATGACGTTCTTCACTTTGTGGGAACTAACAATTTTTGACTTACATTCTTTTTTTTCCCTTCTTTTGTTTTTGGAAGAGAGAAGTAAACACGAAGAGCAACGAGAGCGAAAAAAAAAATGAGCTGAATAACTGGGGAAACCTACGGGAGCGACGAACTTGCCAGGACCTCGCAATGTATACATCTTCTTTCTTTTTGACGTTATTTATTTGGCTTTTATTTTTAATTTTATTTTTGTACGGTGTGTGGGTGATATGACGTGGAAGGAAGGAGGTTGGGCGGCATGTTTGCGTCTAGGCTTCTGTTGCTGCGCCTTACGAGGGCAAGCCATGGGCCCGAAAAGGTGGCTCCCGCACTCGCAGCATCCATCAAAGACATCATCTTAAAAGATCGTGTGGTCATTTTTTTAACCGGCACACCGGAAGAACCTCGCTGCCGATTTACGGCACAGATGGTAGATATGATGCAGCAGATGGGAGTCCAGTATAGCTTTTTCAATGTTCTTGACGATGATGATGTCTGTGAGGGACTTAAGACGTACAGTGACTGGCCGACGTATCCGCAACTTTATATCGATGGGGAACTTGTTGGAGGATACGATGTGTGCAAAAACATGTTACTAAATGGACAATTAACAAGGCTTTTTCAGGAGAAGAAACTGCTTTGAAAATAAAAGCAGCAAAATGAAAATTCTAAGCATGCGGCATCATGTCATGTGTGTTTAAAATTGGTAAATGGTGCAGGAGGTGTTGGCGCAAAAAGTATGAAATACCTTTTTTTTTGCTGGACTCCCATTCTTTGACCATCCTGCTGTCCACATTATATATATAATCATAAATGGAGAGAGGGAGAGAATGTTTTTTTTTTTTTGTATGTGTGAGTTTGCTAGTATGTGCACTGGCTAGAGGAGACGTGTCTCTGGAGAAGGCAACTGCAGCGTTTTTTTTTTTTTTTCTTTTAAGCGAAAAAACTCTTCTTCCGAGACATGTCTATAAGTGGAATCCCACAGGAAAATGTGAAGTGGCTGTGGCAGATGTACTGTGCATCTCTTGCGCCTCTGTCATTTGAAGAGGAGGTTGTGGTAGAAATGTGGAGATTATTCGCCGCATTTTTGGCCCCACTATCGTTGCAGCCTTCCGCGACAGCGTCTAACCAGGCCTCTTCGGCAATTGCAACATTTACATTTACGGTGGACCTCCGTAGTGACGGTCTAACTGCAGAAATGCGAACTGCCCTTGTTAATCAGCCACAGATTGTTGTACCACTTTTGGAGTTTTTTAGGGCGGTGCTGGACTACCAGCAAAATTCCGAAGAGCATCGACGGGGAGCTCTCGGATCCAAGCGATTGGTTTGTTCAGTCATCGGTGACGATGCTTGCGCGACGTCATTTGATGCGTTGGGGGCCTCCTTACTAGGCCAGCTTGTGGTGATTCGTGGGACAGTGGTACGCATGAGCCCGTCACGGGTGGTTTGTGTAAAGATGGCGTTTCGCTGCTGTTTATGTGGAGCAATCGTTGAGGTTTCAACGGAAGATGGGGTCCTGATATACCCTGGATCATGCCGTGGTAGATGCCGGGGTTACAAGTGGTCCCCGTTGGTGGAACAAGGAAAGTGCGAGGAGGTTCAGGTGCTAAAGATTCAGGAGCAATCAGGCGTATACGATGGATCCACAGGCGGCGGGAATATTCACAAGATGATGACGGTGGAGCTGCGTGGCATATGGATTGATGCTGCGACAGTTGGTGAATCAGTCATTTTATGTGGTGTTCTTTTTGCAAGGCGTAGTGAGGGCCGTGCTGACGCCACACAGCAAATAGCTGTGAGAGCGTACTCCATAGAGGGAAGTCGACATGACAGTGAGCGGAGTGTTTTGCTGTCGATGAACTCATTAGAAGAAAGTGCACAGTTCTACGAGATGGCGCGTCATCCGCAGTGGTTTGCACGCCTGTGTGCTTCTCTTGCACCGTCCATTTTTGGGTTGCAACACGTCAAGGAGGCCATTGTTTTGGCTGTGGTTGGAGGCACGGCGCACACGATGCGTACACGCAGTAATATTCATTTGCTTATGGTGGGGGATCCGGGTCTTGGGAAGTCACAATTGTTGCGTTCTGCTTGCACCATTGCAGCACGTAGTGCTTTTGTATGTGCTCATACGTCTTCCTCCTGCGGTTTGACACTCACGCTAACGAGAGATCCAACTTCCGGGGAAACCGCCTTTGAGGCTGGGGCGGTTGTACACGGCGACGGAGGAATTACTTGCATAGACGAAATTGACAAGGGTGTCACAGAACACAGGGCGCTTCTTGAGAAGATGGAGCAGGAGAC